AGCAGCAGCAGCAGCAGCAGCAGCAGCAGCAGCAGCAGCAGCAGCAGCAGCAGCAGCAGCAGCAGCAGCAGCAGCAGCACAACCACCACTAATGAGAGCAGCAACAACATCAGCAGCAACAGCAGCAGCACCAGTTTCATCAGCACCAGTACAATCATCAGCATTTGTACCAAATAGCAAGTACTTAACGCTTGCATCAGCAGCAGATGCAGGAGCAGGAGGAGCAGGAGCAGTATCACTGACATCGTCAGCAGCATTGGTACCGAAAACCGAATACTCAACGCTGGCATCAGTGAGAGCAACCGGCTGGAATGTCACGCTGCCTAATCTGAGCTACGTACCTGATACACATGCTGCCACGGCAGGTGCTGCTTCTGCTGGTGCTGCAGCAGGTTCTGCTGCTGCTCCTGCTGCTTCTGCTGCTGCTCCTGCTGGTGGCAACCACGTCCCAGAAGCACAAGCTATTCCAGTGCCATTTCCAGCTGATGGGGGAATAGCATTCTCAAACGAGCTTGCTCAGGGGCAGCCGAGACTGCAGCCGAGGCAGACGGGGCAGATGCAGGAGAGATTACAGCCCGCCTTTGGGTCGACTCAGAAGATGCAGGAGAGATTACAGCCTGCCTTTGGGTCGACTCAGAAGATGCAGGAGAGATAACAGCCCGCCTTTGGGTTGACTCAGAAGATGCAGGAGAGATTACAGCCCGCCTTTGGGTCGACTCAGAAGATGCAGGAGAGACTACAGCCCGCCTTTGGGTCGACTCAGAAGATGCAGGAGAGATTACAGCCCGCCTTTGGGTCGACTCAGAAGATGCAGGAGAGATTACAGCCCGCCTTTGGGTCGACTCAGAAGATGCAGGAGAGATTACAGCCCGCCTTTGGGTCGACTCAGAAGATGCAGGAGAGATTACAGCCCGCCTTTGGGTCGACTCAGAAGATGCAGGATGAGATTGAGGTGGTTCTTGAGCAGTCTCAAATGCCTCTTGGCCTCCACCCGGTCGAACCCGGCAGTGCTTTGGATCAGCACAGGGGAGTGCAATTGCAGCAGCTTAGGTTCGACACGTGGCAGTGGCAGAACCCAAGCGCGGTCGCTCACATGCAGCAGGGTCCGAACGCGCAGAAGGGCTCTCACCACGGTCCAATGCACGGGATGCAACTGCCAAGCTTTGAGGCGCCTCCCGCGTCTGCCGCCACAAGCACGTTCCCCACCCTGCCTGCTTTGGAGCAGCACGAGGCGCCGCAGCTGACGCAGATGCAAGGTGCTGTTGCGGTTCAGGACATATGGGGGCTCCCCTTGCCTCGACTAGAAGGGCAGCAGAGCTTGCAGCAACCGATGCAGCAGCACTCTCAGCAGCCAGAGCAGCAGCACTCTCAGCAGCCAGAGCAGCAGCACTCTCAGCAGCCAGAGCAGCAGCACTCTCAGCAGCCAGAGCAGCAGAGCCAGAAACGTCAGTGTCGGTTGCAGGAGCAGGAGAAACGCCAGCATCCTCAGGTACAGGTCCAACAGGAGTACCAGCAGCAGCCGCAACAACTGCAGCAAGAGCAGTGGCATTGGCAAAAGCAGAAGCATCAGCATCAGGTGCAGTGGCAATGGCAACAGAAGCGGCAGCAGCAGCAGCAGCGGCAGCAGCAGCAGCGGCAGCAGCAGCAGCGGCAGCAGCAGCAGCAGCAGCAGCAGCAGCAAGAGCAGCAGCAGCAGCAACCACGGGAGCAGTGGCAACAACAACAGCAGCACCAACAGCAACAGCGCCAGCAGCAGCAGCAGCAGTCGTCTCTTCTGTGCACTGAGAATCTTGAAGGCCGATGGACAGCATGTGCTCCTGCTGTACTTTCTTCTACCACTGACGTCACCACTGGCACCACTGACATCACCACTGGCATCACTGACATCACTGACGTCACCACTGGCATAGCTGACGTCATCACTGGCATCACTGACGTCACCACTGCTGTCACTGATGTTACGGCTGGTGTGACGGATGGCGTTGGTGGTACCACTGCTGAAGCTGATGTCATTCCTCTCCCTGAGCATAGCATTCCTTCTTGGGGGAACGCCCTTCATGCCCCGTGTGCCCCTTTTGCTGGTTCGGGTATCCGCCCTCCTGCAAAGCATGAACCAGCTTGTCAAGGCGAGAAGTGGATGGATCCACCAAATATTGATGTTGCCACGTCAGCAGCACCCAATGGTGCTGACGTGTCAGCATGTGGTGGTGGCGCCACATCAGGCTGCGAAACCACTGCCTTTCAGCAGCAGAAAGCATCATGGAAGCATATGCCAGGCGAGGAACTCAGGGATTATCGTCTGCAGCACATGACCCACTTCCAGCAGCATTTGCACCGCAATCAGCCACAGCAGCAGCACCTTCAGCAAGCTGTTTCGGTCGAAGCAGCAGGTTACATGGTGGATGGTGGTGGGGGCGGCGGAAACCGCAGGAATAGCAGCAGCTGGAGGTGCACCCACAGCAGCACTGTCGATTCTGTGGAATCTGGAACTGGTACCTTGGCTGCTACTTGTAAAGACTTTGCCAACGTTTTGCGGTATGATTGATTTGGTCGACGTAACAGCACTACCAGCAGTGGTGGCAGCATGAGCAGTTTGGGTTGCTCTGTGGCGGGATCATCACCGCATGATGAGGCTGATGTGGGTGACAGATTGGAAGCTTCTGTTGCTGATGTGTCGTTGGATGAGCTGTATTTGGCTCAACAAGACATCAGCATGATGTGCCAAGTCACTGCGCAGAATTTTAACAACCCAGAAGCGATTTGCACACTGGTTGTGCAAGGTTGTGACGATATTGATAGTATTTTGTCTGATTGTCTAGGAGAGGTGATCGAGTAGTGGCAAAATAAAATAGCAACCTGGAAGGAAAGGATTGGGAATGATTGCAAGGAACTGGAACTTTATTTACATCGCATCTGGTCTCATCGCACAACAGTGTACATCGGGTCTTGACGGTTCTTTGCACGTTGCCAACCCTCAATGTTGATTGCAATTTGCCGCTTTTGCCAAACCACGTTTTGTGTATAAGGCTGGTTTTGAGCCTGTGAAGAACTCTGATTCATCATTTTCTTAGAACCTATGTGGTGATGACGATTCTAAATGCACACTTGCGCGAGCTACTATAGTGGTCCGTTTCCAAACCGACCAGAGTACCTTGTGTGATCGTGCTGATATGTAAGTGACATCCGTCAAGGTGCAAAATGGTTCTGTCAACTTCTCGTACGTTTTGATAAGTTTACTACTCGGTTCATTGATTATACCCGTTAGATGTTGACGGATATCGCCGAAATCAGAGGGACCAACGAGAAACCACCTTCATCTGATTCGCTAAACCTAGAAGTCACGGCCCGCGCCGCGTTCCAGTTAGTCCTAAAGCACCCCTCTTCTCTCTCTAGATTCTGAGATTCCATCTGTGAGATGAGGACGGTCACCGATCGTGCAATCGAACCTGCGCAGGTTCGTACTTTGGCGGGGTTAGAGACGTTTCTGAGAGTTGTGGATGAAATTCGTGTGATTTCAGTGGCGGTGGCCGATCTACATTGCATGATCAGTTACCGAAACGAGCTGTAGGTGACGCGTCCCAGTAAGCAAGGCGTACATGATCGACAGGTCCCTACAACACCCTGCCTGGGCCACTGTCCCGCAGGTGTTGATGGCACACTTGCATTCAGCACGAGTTGCTACTGCCACTACAGTGTAGTCATTACTCCGACACTGTTCCCCTTTCCAGCGCATCTTCCGTTACCTCTTTAGTTGGACCAGTCCTAACATGAGAATGCGGTGGATTTGTCCGACCAATCGGGACAAGTTGCCTTGCCTGTCCTGTCAGGGCGAGCAACTTCAAGTTGCTTCCAATCCAGGCCTCACTTTGTGGATCATCATGGTTCCGCTGTGTCACCTTCGCATTCGCACATGCGCATGCCAAGCAGTGCTTGCGCTTCGCCCTGCAGATGCACGCTTCCTCGGCAGATGCATCGCGAAAAAGGAAAGCTGCGATTTTTGGCCCCCGAAGGTTTTTCTGCGTTGGCCTTGCGAGAAAGTTGCGGAAAGCTGCATAAAAACACCGCACCCGAATCGCAACTTATTGCACATCAGAAACGCACATCTTCATCGTACACACAAAAGTGACTTGGCGGTAACTTTTCCACGAACATGTAGGAAACTCGAAGCGCACACCTACATCTAGAGTCGCATTCGCGGCTCCCATTTAATTCGAACCAAAATCCGCGACATAAGTATGCTGTACCTGGTGTTTCCGTCAAAATACAACATGTGAGTGCACAGGGTGCTCATATCCACATTAGCCAAAACTACACCATCAACTCAAAATAAATTTGCACACACAATAACAACCACAACACCAACATAAACAATGCGTCCCCCCAACGTACGATACCGCACAATCAACTCCCACAACCAAACCCCACTACTGCCAGACGCATCACTGGTCGTCATCACTCTCCAGCACTTCATCATTCTGCAGCACTTCTTCGGCTGTCCCGTTCTCAGCTCGCCCCCCTGCGCGAGCCCTCTTGACAGGCGTCCTGCATAGGCGGGAAATCACCTCCTGGTTCGATGCTCCGACCTCTGCTGGCAGAGCCGCCGGGGGGATGCCGAGCTCATCGGCACGCTCCACGTACGCGTTTGTGACGTTGCGTATCACGCGCCTCCTACTACGCTCGTCCCGCAGCAATGGGCCGTCTGGCAGGCTCATGTCGCCCGACGAGTCATCGGACGCGCTGGCAGCAGGTGTGGCTCTGAATCCCTGTTCCAAGCATAGTCCCGCGTCGCAGTTGATAAAATCCGCGGCCGTCATGTAGCACGCAGGCCTTACCTTGAACTTCTCGATGAGCAATTGCAAATAGACGCATACCGAAATAATAGGCTCGAACATGCCGGTTGCGCACGTGTCACCCAGGTACGCCATCAGGGGCGGCCAGCTCGCCGGCACGCATCCTGCGCGCCACCAGCTCCGCTGCATGGTAGCCGCGCGCACACGAGTTCACGCTTCTCCCAGCCACTCGAGTATGTCGTTATAGTCGACATCAGCGATGGAAGCCGAATAGTCGAACTGGAACCGCTTGAACCCTATCGCACGCCTCATCAGCATAACGCGGTAATACGCCTTCAGCGCGTCACCCACTCCCTGCAGGTGCGGCAGGCCCGTCTCCGGAACCGATCCACGAATGTTGACGACTCGGGTGTTCGTGAGGTGCTGCACACTGAAGCCGTGCTCCGTGACGGGCGGCGCCACCTCGCCTGTGATGCGATGCGCCTTGTGAATGGTGAGGATGATGGTGTTGCGATCACGGCTGAAGTGCACACCGTTTACGGTCTCCACAAACTCCGTGAATACCTGTGTGCAGCGAATCAAACATAGCGAGCACGTCACCAACGGCCATTGCGGTACGCAAATACATCGGAGATGGACGCGCTCCTGATGTAGTCGCACGTTCTATGCCCGTCCAACCATAAAACTGCACACAAAGTCCACAATCCATACCTCCGGTGTCAACCGCCCGCGGTTCGTATACCGAACGGCCACCTTGCGCGATGCGGCGCTCGCCCGCCGGCGCTCGGGCCTATTGGATGGCTCTAGCACCACAAGAGGCACTGCGGAACAACTCCCCGTCGCGTTGTAGAGGATGCCGACGCTGACGATACGCTCCACCACATTGCGCTTATCCGGAATGTACGACTTCGGCAGCCGGCTGGGAAGAAAATTAATCTCGTGGAAGCAGAACACGTCATCCGGATGTGCGGTAGCAAGCAGGGCCTTCAGGTCACCCATTGTAACACACTGTCACTCTGGTATGCAAGTATGCATTGAAGTGCACACGACCTCCTCCTACATACGTTTCATTTGACCGTAACGTACCCCCGGCTTGCCCCTGCACGCACACTGTGTAGAGCAGTTGAAATTGGCCACACAACCAACCGACCACATTCCCTGCGCTGCACAGAGATAACGCTCCCCTATGATACAACCACCTGTAACGCCCACATAGGACATCCCGCCCCCACGACGCCACGTACGCGTCACCCATATCCAAACAACCAACTGACTGAGACCCCGAGTGTGCACCACCACACATTGTGGTTGTGCAACCCCGACCGCGCAAGGAATAAGGGTACCCGTACGCGTTATACGATTCATAACTTAACCACCATACTGCACACCTATACCTGATTGAACGTCTTATCTTCTTAGCACGAGTGTATAATAACATCACCGCTGGATAACACAACTTCCATCCAACCATGCCTCTACACATAAAGAACGCACTACGCAGTGATTTATGGTTTAAAATTCCGAGATGCAACCACTGTCTGTAAACGCATTGCGTCACTCGCATAGTAGAAACCTATTTACTAGCTGCACCTTTTTGTTGCTGTACGAAGGGCACACGTGCACCACTCTCTGCAGGCTTTTCAGCTCCACCATCGAGAACCTCACATCCTCCACTGTCTTGTGCAGCTGCGTACATCCCGTGAGGTTGCAGCTCCCAGCCTTCTCATAGTACCTCACATATGCGTACCCCTTCCAATCCCCATCACGGTCAACCGCCCTGAAAATGCACAGACATTTTGCATACCAGTCCCCACCCTTGTCATTGAGCAGCGCCACGTCCGAATACCACCTCTCTCGGGGCGACGCCTTCACAAATGTCCCTTTGGCCACCAGCTCGCCGCCTCTTGTGCGCGGAATGGCCACCGCCGTATGGACCTGTCACCCCATCCCCACCAAACCAACAACACGTGCACATCATGAGTGCGGTGAGCACCATCATGTAAGACTACAAACGTCACATGTCCGCCACTTTGTAATCACTTCACCTGCACGCTGTTGGTAGCCAGACCCAACGCCTTAAACTCGTCAGCCAAACCCTTCATATCGTCTCCCAGCGTGGTTATGTACTCATCGTACACTGGATCCGCCGCTCCGCCAATCCGCATTGTCCGATACTTCTTCGTGAGCACCGGTTTCTTCTTCAAGATTGCCTGCACGTACCACACGCATTCGCACAACGAACCACACGGTGTTTGAATCACGCCACCACCCCGGTGTACGGTGAACTCTGTACTACCAACACTGGGCATCATCGTCGCCAAGACCCCCTAACACACCTCACGCAAGGCGCACGCATACTGTCGCCCACCCCCAGCGTCCGCCGCCACCTCGCGGTACACCTCGCGCTGCACCTCCTCCTCCACGATTCGTCGAGGTATGTCGCTCCAATTGCTCCCTCTTACTGGACCCTTCACCGTGCCCTTGTGCGTGCGCTCCCACATTTCGGTTGAATAGTGGTGCGGCATCCCACGCTCCTTCACGTTGTCCAGCAAATGTCTTATCATGTGTATCTTTGGGAGCTTCCAGTGGGATGCCTGCGATGGGAATGCCTTCTGTAGCAACGCCACCAACCTGCACCAGCACCCCCGACAAGGCACAATACTGGATGCATCACCGTATTTGGTGACCTCAAAATAGCTGTGCAATCTGGAGGCATAGCCTCCCATAAATCTTGTTGACCCAACGGCGTGGGGTATACAAATACTCACGCTATCGCATGCTGCCGGGCAATCGCAATTGTCGTGTGTGTGTGCCTGTCAACCCCCAGAAACGCCTTGTAGAACACGGCATACAGCCGGAACGCCTTGACCTGCAAAGCACGCAGCTCTCCCTCCGGTCCATCCTTCAATGCACTCTCGTCTGCCACCAGTATCGGCATTATCTGCATCATGCTCCTGTGCTCGAACGCCGCGTAGTTTGCGCCAGAACTGAAGAACGATGATCCCCCAGGGATACGGAGGAGAACGCTTGGAGTGAAACGCTTGAACTCCTTCTTGCGGCTGCGCACATACATAGTACGATGTCGTCATCCGCTGACACACATGGGGGCCTAGACCCCTCCTAAATCCCTGCAGAATATAGTTGGCTACCGCTCTCACACCCGACTACACCTAACTCACCTTTCTAGCAGCCGCATCTCAACCTTTCCAAGGGGTTCGATGTAGGAGTCCATCATGTGGATCAGCACACCGGAGTCCAGCACGTGCAGTGTGTCTGCTAGGCATGCCAGGTACACGTTTCCCTACTCTGTGTCTGCGAAATTCCACCTTTGAAGCACGCACTGCAACCATCCCACAGACGACACAGTGTTGTCAATCAGTCCACATGATATCCAGCCCCCATTCATTACGCACCACCAAACCGCGCACCAGCAAACACACCTTGATCGGATGGGTTGACCATAACTTCCGCACATCGTCTGCCTCGCCCTTCTTCTTGCACGCCAAGATTTGACGAACAATGTCCCTCTGCTGATCGGGGGTCCGTGGATCACACTTCCCCACCATCATGGTCAACTCCCCCTTCACAGCATAGCAGTTAGCGCATGGCCGATGCGATCCTTTCTGCAGAGTTGCGGAGGCTCTGCTCGATTCCGGGAAGTCGGCAGGGTATCCGTACAGGCAAGGGACCGCCTTGTGCACCTTCCCGTCCGCGTCTGTGCAGTAGAAGAAGCGTACTGGCGCGCTGCATAGTGCCGCAATGCACACATAGTGTTCACTTAGTGATGGATCGTATGCATATCTCCCAAAAGGGTGGCTACTAACTGGGGTGGCCCCCCTTACCCACCCGTGTTTCGTTATCATCCCCACCCCCATCCCCTCCCAGTACCTGGCGGACTCTCGCATGATGGGCGCGAGTATTATCTTCAGCGCCTCCTAGAACACGCGCGTCTTCTCCGTGGGCGACGCCCATTCAGGCGGGAATGGAAGCACCGCCGCCAATGTGTGCCCGGGCTCCACTCCTCGCAATTCTTCGGGGATGTTGACAAGTGATATCAGCACAGGCCACGCGTTCCTTCGTCCATTCCGTGATGCATGCGTGCTATCGCTGTATATTAGCACGCCTGGTACGAGTGCCTGGTCGTCGTTAATCTCCTTCTGCCATGTAGAGCGCACGGGTCGGTGAGCGTTGTGACACCTCGTGCAGGTACCAGTATGCACGACATATGACAACTGAACAACTAACATGTGCGTACCTGAGCAGAGTGCATCCAATCACCTGTCTCCGGTCCTTCAAATACCCTCTCGTTGTTCTTCTTCCGATATATCTTCCTCGGCTTCCATACGAACCCCTTTTTGGATGAGAACGTCCGCACCAGCTTTTTCAAGATCTGTGTGCGTAGCGCAAAAACGTGGGTGAGAACATGATGCGGGCCAACTTCATCTACACGTCACCTAGACATCGCCTCCAGGTTGGCCTCCCATCACGTACCAACTCGGTGTCGCGGAAGTGCAGTAGCAGCTTCATTTGTAGTCCTTTGGGACCCCTCACCACTATCTCCTCCGTTTTCCACGGGACCATGTCGGCTGGAGCTCGCGCCATGCCCCAGCGGCGCACATCCACCCAGTTGCGCAATCGTCTGAGAGCCCTTAGGTTGAAGCGAGGGTTGCGGAAAATGTGTTGCAGACGGTTAACTTCCCGGTGCGACAGATCGGCGTCATGGAAAAACAGGTACAACTATTTCAGTGTATCAAAAATCTCCGTCCTATCGCTGCCTTCTGTAGACTCGGCGTTAGCGCCGTCGGATGGTGTATCCGCGTCGCCAACCACACTAACTTCGGGTATCGACACCGTTGGAGGTACGGAGAAAAAGCTGCCATCGTTGTTTTTAAGCCTGGATGCCGGTGGGGTATTTGGTTTACCCTCTCCTTCGCACGCAACGGCTTCCAAATATGCCGCCCACAAAAGTTGTTCACGCTTCCTCTTCAACTCCTCGCGACAAACAGCTCCATTCACTACATGGGACTGTAACCTACTATCGTACTTAAACACCGTCTTGCACACCAAGCAACTGTCCCCCGCCATCCTACAGCCGTCAAACCCTAGGAATTGCTGCTGTGAAAACCCTGCCCAGCACATCTGATGCACTCTTGTACAATACAGTTGGGCTGGTTCGAGCACACGCATGTGCAGGAAGCTGTGTGGTGTGCGCACAGAACATAGCCGTACTCGTTGCAGTGAAAGGTACAACTATATTATGTGTGTATGTGTTGTATGTGAATCGGCATTTACAATTGTCCAACCGCCCCACCAATGATTGTAACTTGTTTATCGGGATTTTAAAAATATCATCAACTGTTTCCGTAATCACCAACACCATTGCATATATTTGATTCTTTGTCATGTCGATTCACTTATTTTTTTCCAAACTCAGTCCACCTTCAACTGACGTAACATAACACATTGCAATATCGCGTGTTCTTGTTGTACAAGTTTAATAACCATGTACGCCTCGATTGCAATAACCGGGACTCGGTGCGCGAAGAGACACATACACGTATGTTCACCATACGGCGTACATCGTTACCATAATTCGCGTCATTCGGCCTCCTTATAAAAAAATTCGAACTACAGGTACACAACCGCACATTCGCTTGCATGCATCTGCTTGGTAACCCGGCTTCAACCTCCGACCACATCATCCGAAACCCTAGGATTAGCACACGTGGATCTGCATGGCGCTGAACCATCACATCCTCTCGAGTGGTCGCTGTCAGAACATTATAGCTTATATATATTTGTGTAGGCTATAGTGGGGCATCCCATAGGGGGTACAACCACATCAGGGTTTCCTATATGTACTCACTTCATTCATAGTTGATTCATTCTCGTTCACTTCTCTCATGGTATCGAGCAGGTTCCCCTGTGGGAACTGTGCTTAGGGCCCACCACTACTTCGAACTTTTTTTTTTTTTTTTTCTGCCCGGAGCGCACTCCGGGCTCTCTCGTACTCTGTCGACTGGCCTTTAGCCGCCCGCGCGCTGCCCGTTCAGGCCTCACGCCGCCAGCGCGCCGCCCTAGACGCTAGCGCGCCGCCCGTCCAGGCCCTGTGCAGCCCGCGCGCCGCCCTTTGCAGCTCGCGCGCCGCCCTTAGCAGCCCGCGCGCCGCCCTTAGCAGCCCGCGCGCCACCCTAAGCGGCCCGCGCGCCGCCCTAATCCGCCCGCGCGCCGCTCGCTAGGCCCCAGGCAGCCCACGCGCCGTCCGCGCGTCGCCCTTAGCCGCCCGACGAGCCGCCCGTGAGCCGCCCGTGGGCCGCCCGTCAGCTGCCCGTGAGCCGTCAGTGCGCCGCCCTTAGCCGCCCGACGAGCCGCCCGTGAGCCGCCCGTGGGCCGCCCGTCAGCCGCCCGTGAGCCGTCAGTGCGCCGCCCGACGCGCCGCCCGTGCGCCGCCCGTCAGCCGCCCTCAGCCGCCCTCGGACGCCCGTGAGTCGCCCGTGCAGCCGCCCGTGCAGCCGCCCGTGCAGCCGCCCGTGCAGCCGCCCGTGCAACCGCCCGTGCAGCCGCCCGTGCAGCCGCCCGTCGTGCCGCCCATGAGCCGCCAGTGCCGCCCGTGCAGCCGCCCGTACAGCCGCCCGTAAGCCGCCCGTGAGCCGCCCGTAAGCGGCCCGTCACGACGCCCGCGCCGCCCGTGTCACCCGCGTCACCCGAGCCGCGCGCGCTGCCCGAGCAGCCGAGCCGCCCGAGTCGCCCGTGCCGCTGAACGCCCGAGCCGCCCGAGCCACCCGAGCCGCCCTAGCCGCCCTAGCCGCCCGAGCCGCCCGAGCCGCCTATGGTGCCGAGCGCCGGGTCCTGTGGGGCTGCTGCTACTCCTGGGCCGGCGGAGTTGCTGAGCTGCCGTGTTGCTGTTCTACTGAGCTGCTCGACCCTTCCTCTCTGGTGAGACTGTCGGCTGCTATCATGGCCACCCCTAGTGTCCTGGCCTTTGACGCTGAGGGTCGCGCCATTGACTTTGCGGTCTGGGTCGAGGACCTGCAGCTATACTTGCAGTGCGATTCAGTAGACGACATCTCTCTCTTTGACTTTGCCTCTGGCGCTGTCCCTGCCCCTCCTGCTGATGCTGACCCCACTGTTCGCTCCAAGTGGGCCACACGCGATGCTGCTGCACGTCTTGCTGTGCGTCGCCACCTCCCTTCCTCTGAGCGTGCACACTTTAGTCAGTGCAAGACCGCTCAGGCCTTGTACGACGCTGTAGTTGCGCGCTACTCCTCCCCTTCCACTGCTACACTGAGCCGTCTCATGCTACCTTACCTCTTCCCTGACCTTGCTGCCTTTCCTACAGTCGCTGACCTCTTTACCCACCTGCGCGCTAGTGACACTCGCTACCGAGCTGCGCTTCCAGCTGCCTTCTGCGCCGAAAACCCCCCTCCCATGTACATCACCCTCTACTTTCTAGTCACCCGTCTCCCTGAGTCCCTTCGTGCTGTTAGGGACCAGTTTCTCTCTGTCTGTCCCACCACCCTCACTGTCGACCTCCTCGAGAAGTCCCTACTAGCGGCCGAGAAGAGCATAGTCGCTGTAGGGGCCTCTCGTGGTGACCCCCGCACCCCCATCTTTGAGGGGTGTTCTCCTTCCCCCCTGTTACCCTCTGTTGCCTCTGCTGCTGCGGCCGACCTCGTTGGTCTAGAGTCGGTCGGTGCGGCGTCTACCCCCAGCGGTAGGCGCCGCTCTGGCAAGGGCAAGGGGGGCAAGGGAGCGGGTGGAGCTGGCGGGGGCGGTGGCGGAGGAGGTGGGGGCGGCGGGGGGAGTGGGGGTGGCGGTGGAGGTGGGGGCGGGGGTGGAGGTACTAGTGGCGGCAGTGGAGGCGGAGGTGGTTGCGGAGGTGGCGGTGGAGGTGGCGGTGGGAGCGGCGGGGGCGAGGGTGGCGGTGGCGGCGGTGGCGGCGGAGGCGGGGGTAGCGGTGGTGGAGGTGGTCAGAGTGGCTCGTCCCAGCGGAGCAGCACTGGGGGTGGTCAGCGCCAGCAGCAGCAGCAGCAACGCTCTCGCGACGTCCCCGCCCCTCAGCAGCTCCGTGAGTGGTACTTGCAGCGTCAGCGTGGTGGGGCGTTCGGTCCCTGCACCTACGTCCTTCGCACCGGCGACCGCGCGGGTGAGCAGTGTGGGGGCACCCACACCGCCCGCCGCTGCTTTGCCCGCCTGACCGACGCTAGGCGCCAGCAGTTTCCGGAGGCCTCTGAG